GTTTTTTTTTTTTGGTACAAATAAGATGTTTTTAACTAATAACTATACATGTATATGTATATATATTCATGGGCCCCCAACACTTGAGGCCCTTGGGCCAAGCACCATTTGCCCCCCCTTTCAGACGGGCCTGACTTTGGATACCGTGGTTGAATAAAAAAAAAATCAGAATAACCGTTATCATTTGGCATGTCAATGAAAATATTTAAATCTGTATATATATAATTGTTGGCATGTAACATTTAATAAAACCTCTGAAATTTTCCCTCCATTTCCGGTTACAAAATTTGTCATTAATATTTTTTACTTCTTACATTAATACATCTTAATGAGTGTAATCATGTATGTTTTTATTATATTATATAAAAGTTATTGCTAATACCGACTAATAATAATTCACAACAAATATAAATTACATAATTATAAACAATTGTTTCAAGTTATGTATTTTAACATCAATATTATCTTTTTCTTTTGTATCTCATAAAAAAATTTCTATAAAAACAATTAGTAATTTATTTCAATAGCATAGTTAAACAACTTTAGAATCTTATAAACAATTGTATTGTAATAATATATATAATTGCTAGCTTAGCATTTAATTTTACCTATTTAATAAAACCTCTAAAAATTTTTCTCTGCTTTCAGTTACAAATTTTATCATTAATATTTTTTTACTTCTCACATTAACACATCCTATTAAGTGTAATCACGTATTTTTCTATTATGTTATATAATAGTTATTGCTAATGCCAACTAATAATAATTCACAATAAATATAAATTACATAATTATAAACAATTATTTCAAGTTATTTATATTAACATCAATATTGTATTTTTCTTTTGTATCTCATGAAAAAAATTCTTTAAACAACATTAGTAAATTGTTTTAATAACATAGTCCAACTTTAGAAGCTTATAAATAATTATTTATTTAACAATAATAATAATAATAATAATAATAATAATAATAATAATAATAATATTAATCAAACTGTTATTATCTAATGATAATAAACAATTATTCATAATAATAGAATTGTTATTTATTTTTCCTAATGATTAAATTTTTGAAAATGTAATAAGTTCATTATCTCGAATTTTAATATTAAATTCTCAAATATTACTTACTAATATTTTATGTACATTTGTGCATATGCACAAGATATCTACTAGTATAATATAGTTACTATAGATAACTATTGTTTTTTAAATTTTATTATTTAGTTAATATAATGTTCACTTAAAATATAATATATATATATATATATATATATAT